GGGTTTAGGGTTGGGTTTCAGGGTTTTAGTGTTTGCTGATTTAAGGTTTAGGGTCGAACGAGGGTTTAGGGTTTAGGGTTTAGGGTAGGGTTTAGGATAGAGCTTCGCGGCTTGAGTTCAAGGGCGAAGGGGGGATTAGGGATTTAGGGCTTGAGTGCTTTGAGGGCTATGACTTCCACATCCATGGTTTCATGATAACGGATAAGAACTGCACATCGCAACTCGCAACATGGACCAGTGCCAGAATGCGGAGGCAGAAATGCACAAGCAAGACTGGACTGGACAAGCACGCGAATGCACAAGCAGAAAAGAATAAGCAAGAATGGATCAGCACCAGAACAAGCAACAGTGAAAATGGTCCGGCAGACAGATTAACAATTCGGAGAGAAGCCCGCATACTAGCCTAATGCAAGCTCCTTTAAGGTTTTGGGCTTATGGGTGGCCTCTGCTTGCTCTACTTCATGATCTCTACAAGGAGCTGAAATGGAATATTGAATGGCAAATCCTTGCCTGAAGAGCTCTCCGCCCAAACTTGGATTCCGACTGCTGTGCAGAGCATCCGACCCAAGGTGAAACCACCTTTACACCGCCAGCTCCAACCATCGTAACTAGGGTTTAGGGTTTGGTCTTTTCATAAACCCGACGCCAGAAATTTTCCAAGCTCAGCCCGAAGCCAAAAAACACTCCGAAAACAGAGGCGGTCGAGCTGGTCTACGCCGTGGAGACTGCCTCGGCACACGTTCAACAGAACATCAAGAAGCAGCGGACTCAGATCTGGGAGGCTTAATATAGGGGCTTTGATAATTAGAATAGGGCTTGGGGTATAATGTACTGTAGTTAAACTAAGGAACCCCCAAAGCCCTATTCTAATTTTGAAGGCCCCTACATGATATCCGTGAAGTTTAGGGTTTTCGGCCCTAGGTCTCGGACATGGGGGAGGTGTAGGCCTCGGGCTAAGCGCTTTCCAAAATTCGATAAGAGTAGTGTATATGGAGCCTCGAGGGAGGGCTCTCGTAAGGGTGCGGCAAGGGTGTGAAAAGCTGTGCATAGGGCCTAAACCCCAAACCCTAAACCCCAAACCCCAAACCCTTAGCCCTAAAACCCTAAACCCTAAACCCCAAACCCTAAAATTGGGGGATTTCGGGGTTAGCTGTTGAAGGTTTTCAGGTTTTGTTGCTCTGAATCTGCCGCGCTGAGGCAAAAAGCCGGGTCGTTGGGTTTAGGGTTTCGGGGTTGCGGGTTTCTAGGGGTTCCAGGGTTCAGGGCCTAGGGCCTAGGGTTGAGAAGGCTTTGGGTTTATGTACGGTGTTCTCTCTGGGCTCTTTGAAGCCATGCGGCCGTGGTCTTGTAGAGCAGCTAGGGTTTAGGGTTTAGGGTTTAGGGTAAACCCTAAACCCCAAATCCTAAACCCTAAACCCTGAACCCTAGACCCCAAATCCGTTGTTTTTTTGCAGCTCTCGCGTTCCCAGGTGGTGGGAGTCAGGGTTTGATTCCGACTCGCAGGCGAATCTCCAGCTTCGCGCTTTTCGCGCTGGTATAGCTTGGCATGGGGGAGGCTACATGTCGGGTTTAGGGTTCAGGGTTTAGGGTGTAGGGTTTAGGGTTTAGGGTTTAGGGTTCAGGAAGATGACCCGGAAGCCGAGTGTCAAGCCCTATGTCGCCCAGCCTCACGCTCCCACGGTTGATGGACAAAATCCTGCATGACCTTATATACCTAAACTATGGGATTTGTGGTACTATACTATATTTGGGTCATGCAGAATTTTGTCCATCAACAGTAAGGCACAGGACCATCAGAACGCCAACATTTGAAAGAGAACCCCGCCCAGTGGAACAGTCAGGTGGCGGTGATCAGCACCCAAAACCCTAAACCACCCGAAAGCCTACAGCCGAAACCCTAAGCCCTAAACCCTAACCCTAAACCCCTTCACCCACAAGGCCCTCAGCAAGAATGCTCAGCCATCACCCTAGTTTAGGGCAGGAAGCCCATCCAAGAACCGAAACCGAAACCATCAAATACCAATACCTTGAGCTTCCAAAGCCTACCTATTTTGTAGTTTAAGGTAAACCCTAAACCCCCAAATCTTAAACCTGAAACCCTAAACCCGAATTCCTAAACCCTAAACCCCTACATCCTCAAACCCTCAGCCCCCTAAACCCCAAGAAGCCCCAAAGAACCGGGCGTGCCACCAGGCAAGAGGAGAACATGAAGTTGCGCTCCCGGTTCGGCTCAGCGGGTCTAAGAAGTTCCATAGGCTCCATATGTACAAACTCAGGGTTTAGAGTTTAGGGGTTTAGGGATCAGGGGATTTTTGTTGAGGGTTTGGAGTTTAAGGTTCAGGGCTCTTTGGCTTAGGGTTTAGAGTTTAGGTTTTTTTGGTTTAGGGTTTAGAGTTTAAGATCTAGGGTATGTTGCTGAAGAGTTGAGAGTTTAAGGTTCAGGGGTTGTGGGGCCCATCGTGGAATTCGGCCCCCAGTAGGGATGGTTCTCGGAATTCCGTAATGGCAGTATAAACGGACCCGCTGGGAAGAAGGAGCCGGGAAGAATGAGTAAGAGTAGCTCCTTCAAAGTGTCCCTTAAGCGGTTCTACGTAGCAGTGTATAGGGTATCTCAGTCCTTTAAGTTGTTCCTCTAAGGGGTTTGTATGTATGGCAGTTTAGAGGGTTTCGAGAAGGTTTCGGGAACACAGGGTGATACTTGTTCCCTTCTGGTCCCCATTAAAGGATACTAAACATGCACCGAAACCCTTTCAGAGTTATTAAGATGTTTTTTCAGCGCCAACAGTGTGTTTACATCGCCAAAACAGCTCCAAAAACAGTAGAACCACATTTGGGTTCAGGGTTTATGGGATGCTAAACTCCAAGCCCCAACATCGCGAAATCCCAAACCCTGAACCTTCAACCTTTAACCCTGGGCCCTAAAGCCCGAAGCAGAAACACCAAACCCTAAAACCTCAGTCCTAGACTGCCGTAGGCCACCCACATTTGCGCGGAGATAAATGTCGTAGACTTTTTTCCCTAAACCCTAATCCTAAAGCCCTA